GGTTCGCACAGGCTCCAGCGCCAGCCTGCCTGGCTCCGGATCCCAGCCCTGCAGCCTCCTAAAGGTCGCTCGGCCTCCCCCTCACCTCCCTCTCTGTGACTGGGGATTGGGTGTGGCGATGGGACCTTCCTCGTAACGTTACCATGAGAGTCCAGGAGGTCAACACAGTCAGCGTGCTGGACACATGGAAGCGCCAAGTAAGCATTAGCTCTGAATCTTATTTTCATCTTCGTGTCATTGGTGGTGCTCATTGCCGTGCAGATTTCAGCCTGAATGCAGCGGGGCAGTTGGTGGACCGAGGCCCGAAAAGTCTAGTTCGGACCTGTTAGTATCAAATGTATTTTATTTTGAAGCAAGCGCCCCTTCCCCCCGAGAAGTATTCGAGTAACTGAAGGTGACTTTATCATTATCCTGCCCTACGACTCACTGTCACAGACAGGTCATCTTTCTCCTGGAAGGATCTTGCAGGAACGGCCTCGTCTTTACACATGTTTTCACTGACTTCACAGTGATCACTTTCAGAGATTTTAGACTTGATTCGTTTTCCTTGTGGGAATTTAAAGTAGTTTGGGAAGAGAAGAGTTAAACGCAGATAGGCCCGTAAGATGGGCTCCGAAGCAACAGCACAGCAGTGTCAAGAGCCATTTGCCGAGGCCTTTGCGCCCCTGCAGACGGTCCCGCCACGGGCTCCGGGCTCTCGTGTGGGTCGCCTTGTTTTCGAGAAACGTGTGTGGTTACCGTAACTTCTAATCTCATTCCGTTCCCTGCAAGTATGAGAAAACCACCTGGGCAGTTTACGACGTGGACAGCTGCGTGGAGACGCTGCTGGAGCTTCTGCAGACGTACCGGGCCAAGCCGGGCGACAGAGTCGCGGACAAGAGCGCCAGCATCTTCACCAGGACCTGCTGTCTGTTAGCCGTCCTACTGAAGACGGCAAGTCGCACGTCTGTGAGTCCTGACTGCTCAGCTAGAGTCTGGGCGTCGCCGGGCTGCTGCTTGAAGAGCGGGCTTGGAGGGCAGGGGTGGGCGTCGGGGCTAACGGGAGGAGGCAGGTGTGGGCGCAGGTGTGGGCGCAGGTGTGGATGGTGGTCCAGGCAAGAGACGGTGCGACCCCAGGCCCTGCAACCTTGGGCACGTGAAGAGGCACAGTCACGGGACTTGGCAGCTGAGCGCAATAGGTATTGGCTCAACGTTTGCCTCTTTACTCAGTATCGATTAAGTGTGCGATTTTTGCATATTCGCCCTCTTTACAATCATCTTACAGATTAGTTTGTGGTTTAAACCCATCGAACTGCTCGACTTGGAGAGCTCGGTCTTTGACTGTTAAAAGCTCATAAGTTTACTGCATAATGATCATTTATTACCATTGATTTGGGGAGCATAGAAGGAATGCGAATTTTAATTCTTACTTGTTTGAATAAATGTGCATTTTCTTTTTTAGGATGTCCGAAATAGGTCCAAAGTCGTTGACTGTGTTTGCGGTCTCTACAAACTCACAGCTCGTAAACACAGACCAAATACTGAAAGAATACTTTACAAGCAAAATAAGAATTCTTCCGTAAGCCCTCCCTTCATTCCAGAAACACCTGTGAGAACGATAGTTTCCAGGTAAGCAGAAAATGGGTTCTGTAGTTTCGTGTCAACGCTCGTTCATTCAGCAAACATTTACTGAGCACCTACTATAAACAACATCTTGCGTCTGACTCGGGAGAAGCAACACGTGAACAAGCACAGCGTCCGCTAAAGCTCAGGGAGGGACCCCAGTAAATCCTGGGCGAGGACGCTGCAGCTTTAGCGAGTCAGGCCTGTGGTTCTGGGCTGGAGACACGTCCGAGACGCAAATGACGGCGGCGCTAGGCTGGGAGCCATTAAGCAGCCAGTAGGCCTGGGAGGCGAATGTGGTCACCTTGGGGGAAGAAGTCACACAGGAAAGAGAGCCCCACGCTGAACCTCACGGCAGCCCCAGCGTCTCCAGAAGTCGGCGAGCACGAGCCAGCCCAGGGCTCTGGAGGGACTTGCTGGCCGGGCCGGGCCGGGCGGGGCTGCAGAGTCGCTGTCGGTTGTGCGGAGGCGGCCGAGGGGCCAAGTGCTGGGAAGGAGGGAACGGCCGCTGGGTCTGGCTGCCGCGTGGCGACACGTCAGGCGACGGGCTGAAAGCAGGGTGCCTGCCACACGAGAAACAAGTGACCGCCACTGGTCACCCGGAGCGGTGCTAGAGAGACCCTCACGATGCTTACTGCGGGTGCAGACTCAGCGGGCCCAGAGCAGCGAGCTTCATGACCGCTCATAACTACGAACTTAGATTATTGTAAATTGGTTTATGCCCCCATATTTCTCAGTATAACACAAATAGTCTCGATGGAAATTTGTTAATGGAGACCGTTTCTACATACGGTTCTTACTTAAGGACTCGGTACATTTTAATATGAAGTACGTTTCGAAGACTTATTAGAATGAATGTTTTTTCTGTTGATACAGTCAGGTTTTTTAGATAATGTCCGCATAGCATAAACACGCCGTTTATGCAGACGGGCAGGCAGGCCAGTGGGTTTTGACAGACGTGCGCCGTCGTCATGAGCGTTGGTCACAGCAGAGCTCCCTCGTGCCCGCCTCTTTCCTCGCCCCGTAACGGCCAGTGACGCTGCCACCTCAGCGCCGCTAGCTCTGGGCAGTGGAATCACAGCCGTAGCTTTCGCGACCGTCTTGTGTAGCTTGACGCTGTCGAGGTTCATCGATGCTGACGCATGGGTTAGAATTCCATCCCCTTTCACCTCGGGGTTCACTCCCCTCGGTGGATCCAGCACACTCAGCAGGAGCCAGTAAGAAGGAGGAAAGTGTCCAGTCGCCGGGGTTCACGGGAGGATGACGCATGGGCCCCCTTCTCAGGGAAGGACGAGGTTACGGCGCATTAGCACGGGAGCGGATCGGAGCGGGTGGAGGGGACTTTTGAAAAGGAGGAAGGAATCAAACGGTCACCCTGGGAAGAGGAGGCAGCGTCTGGGCAGGGTCAGGTCGCACTTACTGGCGTAAGATCGGCCGGTTCTCTGAGCTTTCTTTGGCGACGTCCTAGCGATGGAGAGGCGGATGTTTGCATTCAGCACTTTGCAGGAGCAAAACCCTTGACAGATGAGGTCGCTGGCTTCCCGCCCACGTGGATGTCGATACTGCTGCACGTGGTGACAGGAGTCGACAGGAGACCAAGCACCACGTTTACAAAGAACCAACCCCAGGCGGGGTGGGGAGGGGCTTGGTAGATGAGGGGGAGCAGCGGTGGAGCTGAGCGCTGTACCCTCGAAGGGGCCAGCTCGGCCGCCGGGAACGATGGGCAGACAGTCTGGCAGCAGTGACGGCGGGCATCGGGGGGGTGACATGTTCAGGGGCCACAGCTGAGCTAGGACAGACGCACTTTCAGAAGCACGGCATTAATGCAAGACTTCGTTGTTTTCACAGACTTAAGCCGGACTGGGTTTTGAGAAAGGACAGCGTGGAAATCACAAGCCCCCTGCAGGCTATTCAGATGCTGATGGACACGCTCGGCGTTCCTTACCAGCAAATGTGAACATTTTCAGTCTGTACAGTGAAAAGAAATACTAAAGCTAATCATGAATATGTAAAGTGGTTTGGCTTTTCTGTAGAACTTCTGAAATCTGACTTTGTATTAAAATTTAAGAAGCACATATACTGAATTGTTCTTACATTCTTCATTGTTTATTTTGTTTCTTATTTAAGAGTTGTATGCATATAAGAAACTAATATGTCACAAAATGATAACTCTTATTCATGTCTATTAATTACCTTAAAATATTATGGCAGCTGGAACATCATCATGTTCCTAAAGGTAATGGAATACCTTATTATCTACATGCGGTAGATAAACTGGGGCCTTTTTCTAAAATGAATGTTGGAAATTTGAGATTCTGACACCTCACAAGAGAGACGAGGGCACAGTCACTCCGCAGAGACTGGCGGACAGCATCCCTGTCTGTCTCCATGGCGACTGGGCCATCCAGACCCGCAAGGGAGCCCCCAGGCGACTAAGTGACAGCCACGAAGCCCTAACTCTGAGCCCATCGGGATCCCCTCTGCCCTGCAGGAGCAGCATCCGGCCGAGAGTGGGGACCGTTGCCCACCCACATCTCACAGACCCGAAATGCTTCGCCGTTGAAGCAGGAGCTCGGCGTTTTCTGTGGCTTCGGGCCGCTGCCACCGTTGCTGCACCCGTGTGGCTCCGGGACCAGAGACGCCCACCCCAGCAGCTCTGAAATCGGGTGGTGACCTCAAACCCCCCCACCATAAAGGGAAGCCCTGGAAAGGCGTAAATGTAACCGTCTGAGCTGCATCAGCAGGTGCTAGGAGCAGAGAGACCGCGTAACTAATTTTGTAGAATAAGGTTGTAACCTAATTAGTCTGCAGTCGTCTAGGATCGGGTTAGGACACATCTGCAAGTCATGCTGGTAGGTGAAAGCATATAGGAAATTTTGAGTATTGCTTTCTCGTTTTTTCTTCCAATAAAGTGTTTTTAGGAACTCCTGGTCCTCACTATTTTCCAAACGGTGGTTTTCGTTGACGCTGAAGTGATTCCTTCTCCTTTCATTCAACAGAATTGTGGTGTAGACAGTCCGTGTACTTCGGTAACTTCTGCTAGGACGTAGCCGATGTCCTCCTGGGTGGTTGTAACCAGTTAGCTTTTGCACAAGAAACATTTCTGTGAAGTCACACGTGCAAGAAGATGACTTCCAGGTATTCAAACTTGTCCTACTGTTGAAACTCAGACTAGACGTTTATATAATATCCTACTTTTATAGGAAGAACATTTCTCCTAAATGTATGTGATAAATCCATATCAGGATGCTAAGCCTTGCTGGAAGCTAACAGGCCGTGGGTCTGTCGTGGGTCTCTGCGTGTGTGTCGGTGGCTGGTGGGACTGGCTGAGAAGTAATGAAGCCTTTTACTTTAGAAGTAGCTCTTTTCTACAGTTAATACATTATATTAAGGAATCCAGATGTATCGACTGCAGTCTTTAGGTGAGTTTATTAATGGCGAAGTTAGGTAAGTTTCAAATTCACCCTCTTGTTTATTGTAATAACCCAGAATTCCAGTAGATGTCACTAGGCTCTCACAGTGTTCTTAATTTATTTTTAAATGGGTAATGTGATAGAGCTATGATGTCACTAAAATCCATTTTACGTTCTTGGGAAATTTTACCTATATATCCTTAATTCAACCTGTTGTTCATATCATATTTTGGCTGCATCCTGAGAGGAAGAAATTCACATTGTGCATTCTGTATTTAAAATTATTCCATTTTTCTCAATAGGTAGGTGATTTTTTTTTCCAGACTTATTATCTTTATAACTTCTAATTTTTGTTTTTAGCGATGAAAGCCTAGTACTTTAAAAATACTGGTTAAGAAAATACCATCTTTTGGATTGCTTGTTGCTAGCATCCATAGGGGCTAATAGGTTTACATTTAATTTTTATATTGTTCAACCAGTCATTGATTCTTGCTGAAAAGACAGAGTGATCATTTAACATAGTTCTGCTTTCAATAAAGAGGTACTATGCCAGTGAAAATATTTTGCTCGTAACTTCTTTATCAGAGGTCAAAATAATGCAGAGAATTTATGTACAATTTAAGAATGTGTGAAAAAAAAAAGTCCAACCTATACAAAGGAAAAAGGAAATATACCAAAAACCTGCTCATTTCAAGAAAAGCTTTCAGAGGACTACCTGAAGTACTGCTTCTGGAGCTGGAGTAAATGATGGACCCTTTATAAAAAAAAATTATAGAAGCCTATTTCAGAAAGAAGTCAGAGTAGCGTTTCATGCTATGCATAATATTCCACTATTACTGCAGATAGCATTTGTATTAGTAATAGCGGTGGTTTTGTAAAAATTATGATCTAAATGAAGACAAAATGATCTAAGGTTCGATCGAAACCTTGTCCTTGCTCTGCCAAAGCATCAGGTGTCCTACCCGCTGATCATCGTCTGGGTGTTTGCAGTTAATCTTTGCAACTCGTATTTTTTGAGGCGCGTTAAAAGAAGAACCCAACAATATTCACATTTACCTTAACAACGCCGTTAAAAAAGGTAGGTTTGCAATGTTCGTCACGCCCTGTGGCTGCGACTTTCTCCTTGCGAGGAGATGTACGTGGCACCGCGGGGCTCGCGGCCACCTGCCCACGAGGCCTCACGACTCCGTGCTCGGTGTCTGCCCTCAGGGCGTGCACCCCGGAGGCCAGTGGGGACCTTGTGGGGACCCTGCGGGGACCTCGCGTCTTGAGCCACCGCCACCGCCACTGCCACTGCCGGCCCGTGGATGCCCACTTGGGGTGCTGCTCGTCTGGGTCACCTGGAAGGCCACCAGCACAGGACATGGACCATGAAGGGTGAGCCGACCAGGTCCCGCTGCTGTGGCCATCGTCCCTCTCCCCAAGTGACACCACCGCTGCACCGTCCCCTCCCCGGACACTGTTTCCCCCACGCGGGCGTCCACCACATGCGACCTGGGTGCCCGCAACGGCCACACTGTCCCCGCGCCCTGGGCAGACAGCAGGAGCGGGGAAGGCACACGCCCCCCAAACCGCTGTGCGTGCCACGCGATGCCATGTCCCTGCAGAAAACGTCCACACAAGGCCTCGAGGAAAAGGCCAGCAGGTCAGTGGGGAAATGAGCAAAGAGCATGCACAGGAATGGTATGAAATGGCTCTCGGATCCGGGGACAAGTCTCCCATCTCAGGCGCAGCCAGAGAAATGTGAACCAAATTACACTGCGATGATGCTTTTCCTTAGCAAATGGCAAACGCGGAGAGTTTAATAGCACGTGCCAAGACTGGCAAAACTTCCTTTTCTGCTACTGTGACAGTTACTTGGCCTAATTTCCGCTAAAAACATTTGGCAACATTTATCTGTATTTTAAGCGCATATATTCACACGTGCAGTGATATGTGCAGCACGAGGCACCGCAGGAATTTAGCAATAATAAAATACCGTCGGCGTCTTTGTCATCGAACAATAATGGATGCGATTTATAAGTTATACAACCATATTCTATGCCGAGCTGAAAACAAACAAGGACACTATTCTCGGACCGCTGTGGGCGATCGCCAATGTACACCGTCTGGTGAAAAACACGAGTTAGAAGGTGACTAGGACAACTCGGAAATGACATAGGTGCTCAGGGCTTTATTTGCCGTCAAGAGAGGGGACCTGGGTGGCTGAGAGACAAATGGGTCGGCGACTTTTCACTTTATACCCTTTGAAGTTTGTACCATGTAAATATATTGACTTTAAAAAACTAAACATTTAAAAAGCATGTTGTTTACTTTTCTACTTACCTGGAATAAAAGATCCTTCCGGACAATTTTTGAAAGGTCAAATATACTTTCCCATTTTGTTAGATTTCTAGATGTAATACACCTTCTGTACATACTGAAATTAGTGAATGCTAGTAACTTTTAATTGATTAAAAATGTAGATATTTAATTTGCTATCTCAATGTGTATTTTACTTTTTCAAAAGGGCTTTCTTCGAACCCTGACGCTTATGTTTACTAGCTCTGCGATCTTGGACGAGCCTCTTCAACTTCAGCACTCACTAAGCATCCGTACGTTGTTTTATAAAATTGAGCAATAAAAGGGAAGGAAATACTACTACATCCAGCAACGTGGATAAATCCCAAAACATTATGCAGAGTGCAGGAGGTACAACTTAAAAAAAAAAAGAAACAATAGCAAAAACAAAAACAAAAACAAACAAACAAGGACTTAAAAAAAACAAACAATAGCAAAAAAAAACCAAAAACAAACAAACAAAAAAAACAAAAAAAAAAAAAACAAACAATAGCAAAAACAAAAACAAACAAACAAACAAAAAAACGGTGCTTGTATGTTTCCGTTTATATGAGGTTTAAGAGCAAATGACAGGATTGGTGGAAAACTCCAACAGTGTCTGCCTGTGAGCGGGGTGGCGAAGGGGCCTGCCTGGGAAGGGGCACAGGGCAGTTTTCTGGGATGAGAATCGGAACAGGTGTGAGGTCTACTGGTGGACGCATGGCTCGAGATGCGCAGAACCTACTTAAAAGTGCGTTTCTTTATGAACTTCATTTTCAAAGAATAATCTGTAAAACACACTGAATTGGCGTCGCCGATATGTTTGCCTAAGTCTTTAGAGTGACACAGATCCCTGCGATTTGCTTGGAAACGCATCAAGAAAAGATGGATGGATAGAGGGACGAATACATGATGTTGAAAGTATAATAAGATGTTAGTAGTAGAATCCAGGTGGGAATTATATTTGACAATTTTCGAATTTGGAAAAAAAAAAAAAAGAAGGCTTTGAAAATAAGCAGAGGCCATATTATGTCCCTAAACTGAAAGTCACCCGTATGTCCACGAACAGGAGAATGGATAGGGGGTGATTCGCAGGTGATTCATGGCACAGTAACAGAATGGAATACTATACAGGGAAAGAACTAGGTCTATCCGCTACAGCTCAAGATACGGATAAATCTCACGAACAATATGTTAAACAAGAGAAACCAGGCATAAGAAATACTATATAATTTTATTTATGTAGTATAAAACCAGGTGAAACTGATCAATGCTGATGGAAGTCAAGATACGGCTTCAACATTGGGGGTGGGCGTGCCGAGTTTTTTGGAGGAGAATTCTGGGCTGCTGGAAGATTCTGTTTCTTGTTCTGGGTGCCGGTTTCACGATGTACTTCGTGTGAGAATCCACTGATCTGTTCCCTTATGCTATCTGCACTTTTAATAAATTCTATTTTAATAAAAAATTACAAAATCGAAATCGTAATGGCTCCCACTTCACAGTATGATTCTGTAGTTAAAACCCATTCGAATGGATTAAACTCCCGAGGGCAGTAATTCCAATCTTTCTTCATTGCTATGTACACAGGAGCAGAACGGTGCACAGTGAACACTCAAAACACCGACAACCCGGCACCAAGCTCGTCATCCACCGCTGAATGCTAGACGTTACCTTCAATAATATCATCCCATCGTTGCTTAAGATAATTAAGGCCGTTTTTCAGCTTGAGCAGTGCAATCTAAACAACACCATGCTTGAACATCGGGTGTCCATTAGCTCATGTTCCTAAGTTCACCTCTTCGGTTGATCAATGGCGATAAATCGATGACCACACCGAACTTTACTCTGAGGACTTACAATAGGGAATTAAGTTGAAAAATTACCCAGTTTTTAATGCAGTTTGAGTTAATTACTTATGCTCTTATTGCCCTTACTGGTTATGCTGTTCTTATTGGATTCTGGAATAAAAAAAAAATGGTCAGTTAAAATGGTTGTGTTGTTTTAGTCAAAATACTCAACAGTATTTGACTGAACTATAAGGCTTGTCACAAAAGGACTTAGACAGATGTTGTCAATAATTAACTTTTCCTTCAGAAGTGCTGTGTACTTAACGAGGAATCCCCAGCGTTCTTCATTAGCTTCGTTGACATCTTTAAGCACACCACGAAGATGAGGTCGAAAGATTTGTCTTTTATCATCATATTAATCATCTCAGGAGAACTCTATGCAGAAGGTAAAATTAATTCTTACTATTCTCTGTTCTCTAAAAACTATAAAGAGAAATTCTAGCATTCATCTAACTTGAGCTTTTAATATAGTCTTTCGTTTTTATGTATCAATTTTATAAAACGCTTCTCAAAAATATAATTTGTTATAGTATAAATATAATCTGTTATAATATTTAGATTTTTTTTTTCCTTTGGGCAAAACTAGTAAACTATTCTTATAGCAACATAACTTGGAAAAACAGAACCGGACCAAAAATTAATTATCTCTAGGTTTGGGGGCACAGGAGAGCAAAATTTAAATTCTTGAGTTTTCCAGCTAACGGTTCCACCTTTTAGAAGCCGTGTGTTAACCCTAAGTCTGATTTCATACGAGAATCCCTTGCTAACACTGCAAAGCTTAGATGACTTTAATTCTCTGTTTATAAAGCGAGCGTTTAACGTGGGAATTTTGAGAAAGAAAGACTAAACCATCAGAAAGATTTGCGACTCTCCTCGTTTGTTCACTGGTGGGAGCCATTAAACAGGGACCAGCAGGAGAACCGTATAATTGATTATGCAAATGAGACCACTGAGGGGAGTGAACGGGCTCTGCTAATACTTAGGTGGGTCGACAGGTGTGCAACCTGTATGGCCAGACTGCCTAATGTGTGAGGTTCGCGAGAGGCTGGCGGTGACTAGGGAAGTGTTATTAGGCCTTGGAGATGAGAAACTGGGAAGGTGTTACGTGCCAGCGAGGTTGACTATGCAAAGCAGGAACCCACAGTGGTAAGACGTCTCTAAAAGGGAATTTGTCCTACACATTTTAATTGCCTTTTAGTTGAATCGTTTACCCCAAGTTTTCTGTCAAAAAGGGGTCTGTAATTAAAATTATGAAAGTAAAATAAATAGAATATGTCTTACTTGAGACATTTAATTCTACAAGAATATTTGCATGGATAGTTTCCTTTGGTTTTAGTTTTCTGTCCGAATAAGGGAAAACCAGCTGGCATGATTGTCTATTATATATGTCCTAAAGATATTGCACTCTGCCAGCGAATTTCCTAATTATTTATATGCTTATAATCTCCTCTCACACAAACAAAAAAGGTACAAGCTGCCTGAAGACAGGGACCGTGACGTCATAGTCCCATGCTTTCCCCACTCCTCCCAGGTTTGCCTGTCTTCAGAACCTTTCTAGGACTCCGTGGTCCACTAAGGTGACCACAGCGACATGTGGCTACTGAGATGTGACTCATTGAAATCGGGGGGTGCCCTGAGTGTGACAATCGTGCAGAACAGACTTAGGAAGAAAAACGGAATGTGAAATGTTTTTAATATGTTGGGGCGAAGAAAGCCTATTATTAAAATGAACTTCAACGTTCCTTTTATTAAGGGGGTTACTAGACGGCTTAAAATGACGCTTGTGGCTCGCATGATATTTCTGTTAGAAAGCGCTGCTTTGTGAAGTCAGGGGAGCTTCTGAGGAAGGTGGCTTGCCCTGTTTCAATCTGTCGTGGGTCGGGGTTACTTGCATATTCATTCTGATCGAAAAGGATCGGCACGGGAGTTCTCTAAAAATTCCGGTAGTCAAAGTAAGTACTAGTCAAAGTGTCCGCACGTGTGGAAAGCCCACGTGGCTTGTTGCCCGGCCGCAGATTTGATGGCTTTAGACGGTTCTCAGTGCTCAGCTGGGTGCTTCCTCGTTTCAGAGAAGCCCTGTGGTCTCCCTCGTGTGGAAAACGGAAGGATTGCCCCGTATTACTACACGTTTGGAAGTTTTTACTTTCCAACGAGAGTAGAACAAAAATTGTCCTTTTCCTGTCTGGCTGGTTACACAACCGAAACTGGGAAACAAGAGGGCAAGGCCACCTGTACGACAGAAGGCTGGGCTCCGGAACCGAGGTGCTTCAGTAAGTCCGAGGCATGCGTCCGCGGGACACCTGCGACACTCAGGTAGCTTCGTTGGTAAATATGAGCGTCCGGGAAAATACCGGGTGGTTGATCCTTCTCGCAGGTCAGGACGGCCTGCCTGGCCCACCGTGTTTTTTTTTTTTTTTTTTTTTTTTTAACAAAACGTAAGCCTATTCTGGAATTCTGTAAATGACGTTTCTCATTATAATGTTATTTTCTTTATTCGTCGCTCCTAATTCCTTGTGATGAGAATAAAAATTACTGGAATTGTTACCACGTTGCAAGGAACAAGGACACAATCGAGTTACTTTGAGTAACGAGAAACATATGGATAGGTGCATGTGCACGTGGGCAGCCAGACACCGGAGAATTGTTTAAGGACCCGTAACGTAGGAATGCGCTTTCGTTAACGACGTTAAACGTCATCAGACACGGTGGACTTAAAATAGTGGGAAGCAAATGCGAAAAATAACGTCTTCCACTTGCCATTAATGACAGTAGATGCGAGAGAGGCAGGAAGGGTATGAGAACTGAAAGGAGTAAACACGAAGGATGCCAGGGGCAGAGCGAATCAGTTTTTAAGTAAATTCCATGCAGAACATGCAGGATATTTCCAAAATTAAATAAAATCAAGGAACTGTGAAGACTTTTGTCCTTAAAAATTTCAAGAGTAATATCAAACGTTTTGCCTTCGTTTTACTACTTAGTAAAAGACAAGCTTAATTTCATCAAGGTAAGCCAAGACATTTTTTTTCTTCCTCCCCCCCTCCCCCACAGAAAAATGCACTAAGCCTGACCTGGTGAACGGTTTCATCTCTGACGCAAAATTATTGTACAAATTTCAAGAGGACATGCGTTACAGCTGTGCCTCGGGGTACAAAACCCGGGGTGGACGGGACGAAGAGGTGGTCCAGTGTCTTGCTGACGGGTGGTCTTCTCCACCAGCCTGTGGGAAGGAGCACGGTAGGTGCCCCAAACGAGAGGTAAGGGCTTGTGAGGCTGCTACTTTCTCATGTGGACGGGCATTTTTATTTAATAGAATTGATGTTCCATTGTGTCTGCAAATGCAGGAAGTTATCGCGTTGTTTTTCTTAAATGCTAGGATTTCCCTTAATCTAAGGGTTCTCAAGTCCCACGATACACCTCGTCCAGCAGTTCTTGCTTTATGCTACTGATGATGATGATAATGATAATAAAAGAAGCAGAGTGGAATGAAAGGGAAAAGAACTTAATAAACCTACTTCTTCTAACATGCGTAAATTACTAGTTCCTTTCTCAAGAAAAGACATCAAGATAATGCACGTTATTTTACATTGTAAACCCGTGTCAGATATACTTAAAAATTATCCAATAATTTGAATACGCATATTTTGGGTACTGTGTTGTTAGTTATTTAAATTATATAAATCCACAGGTGACACATCATCAAAAAATTCTTACAAGGCTTCAGCTGAATTGTGGCCTTTGGTCGAATACAGTAGACAAGAATTTTAAGACATGGTGTGTGGAAAACGGGAAACAGAGGCAGAAGCAAACTTCGACTTTTTTTCTTTTTTGCCGAGGCTAGATTCTGCCATAGAGTCTTAAGAATCAGTGAAAATACATTTGGGGATTTGTATTTGCTATTCCAAGGGTAGTGATGAAGCCCATACAATAAATCACTTTCATTTCTGTCAGAGACATGTTTGGCTCCTGAATTGCATCATGGGAATTATTCCACGACACAGAGAACATTCAAGGTGAAGGACAAAGTGCGGTACGAATGTGCCCCTGGCTACTCCACAGCTGGAGGACTGAGGGCAGAGGAGGCAGAATGTCACACGTACGGATGGTCTCTCGCCCCCAAATGCACCAGTAGGTCCTCGTTTTGAAGACAAGCTGCTTTGGCTCTGAAAATTTCCTCTCTTATAGAAGTGTACATAAGTCGTCACGAGACTTATTCTGTTTTTCATCCTTTTTTTTTTTTTTTTTTGCTTCTGCTTTTAATTATGTCAATAGTAGGCTTTGATCCTCGAAAGCTCTCAAATAGGAAAAATTCCTGTGAGCTCGGATAATTAAGTAAAAATAAGCCGAATGCTGTCTAATAAATATATAAACCGACGGGCTTTTATGATGCATAATTAAATATGGCAGATTTACTCATTTCTATTCCAGATAGGGCAGGCAAGTGGAAGTGAATTTCGTTTTAGCAGGAAAAAATATAACGCTTCTCTGCATTTTTATTTGTTCTTTCATTTTTAGAATTAAAATGCGCTTCCTTAAGATTAATAGAAAATGGTTATTTTCGTCCTACGAAGCAAACCTATGAAGAAGGAGATGTAGTACAGTTTTTCTGTCACGAAAATTATTATCTCAGTGGATCCGACTTGATTCAATGCTACAACTTCGGCTGGTACCCAGAACCTCCCGCGTGTGAAGGTAATTTTTAAAATTGCGTACACGCAAATAAAACATTGTATCTTAATCGGCTTTAATTGCTATGGGAAAAAAAGTGTCTCTGATGGTATCTAATTCTTATCCTGAGTGATATTTTTAAAATAAATATTGTCTTTTAAATCGGCGTCATTTTCAGCAAACTTTAATACATTTAATCTGAAGAAATCTTAAATGTTATATTAGACTGTAGACGGAAACATCTTTTGAGCTTATCTGTTTAAATCTCTTATTGTAACTTTTCGATCTCTTATTATAACGAATAAGCGTTTTATTGGTAATTACTAGATCCGATTACCCCAAGCTGGCAGCTTTGCGAGGGAGCTTTTTTAATCTGGTTACGTATTTCCCGATGTGAAAATAGTCTTCGGCATCGTGGGGTAAAGAACAGGAAAAGCACCAGCATAGTACCCTGTGTGACGATGGGAAATGGAACCATCTAGAAAGTGACCCTAGAATGTAACGGTTGTGCTCGTTTCTGCCACTGGATGTGTTTAAGCGGGTGGCATGATTCCCTGCGAGGACACATCAGTGGCCATTGAATCACACCCACTAGCGACGTGTAGGGGGCCCCGGCCTAGCAGGGGGAACAGCTACGGAACGTGGAAAAGCAATCGATCCGTGTGACGAATGACATAATGAAGCCAGGGAAAGGATTGGAACAGACATTCACGCTTCCGATGAGGAATAAGCGGGAGGAGGTTTACAGGGCGATGGGTTGACATTGGGACTGGGCCGGAAAAGATGAACGAGAGTCTGAGGATTGAGAGGGACGGGGAGAAGTCCGGGGCTCTACGGCCTCGATTTCCTCTGTCCTATCAAAAACAGCGTCGCCATTGACAGGCGGGAGACAGACAGGAAAGTCAAAGTTGCGAGAAGCGGTGAAGACTTGAGCCGGGTGCTGAGAGGGAGGGAGGACGGGGTGCGCCGGGGTGCACACGGCCCAGAACGACCCCCGCTCCTCCAAAGCGCCGAACGACAACTCCAATGTTTTTTAATTGATTAACTTGTTCGTTTAGAAATGTCCGGCATTGCCCATCACCTTGGCGTAACGGTAGAGTGGAGACCGTTAGCAAGTTGTCTGTGATGTGCCGTTTCTAAAATAAGGGGTGGGACTACTTGTTTCTCAGCCACGCTCCCCGCCCCGTCCAATTTAGTCATCCTGCCAACGAGCTGTCATTCTCTTTGGTAAATAACCCTTAGTTGTAGGATGGGCAGTGTTGGAGGGTGAATAATGTGCCCCCCAACCCTAACCCCCCCCCCAAAATAAAGATACCCAAATCCCAGTTCGTGGAACCAGCAGACGACCCCTTTTATGGCCAAAGAGACTCTGCAGATGTGATCAAGGATCTTCAGGTGGGAGTAACATCTGGGGGTGTCCACCTGGGCCCCAAGCGGGTACCCTGATGAGAGGGGGTGGGGGGATGGAAGCAAGAGGTTGCGGTGATAAGTCGGGGGGTCATGGCCCAGGAATGCAGGGGCCTCAGAAGCTTGAAAAGGCAATGACGCTGATTTTCTCTTGAAGCCCTTTAGCTTCTAGAACTGAAGAGAATAAACTCGTGTAATTTCAAGCCACTAAATTGTGGTAATTTGTCACACTGTATTAACGTAGGACAGGGACACAGGATGTAGAATAGTTAACAGCAGGAGAGCTTGCTGTCGGGCACGGGTTCCAGGCTAGGCCCTCTACTTACTGATAACTTACTTCCTAAGTTTTACCTTATCTATAATATGGAAGACGTAAAGATCCTCAGTTAACAAAGTGTTTTTTAGGGTTAGAGGAGATAATGAATGGAAAATGCTGGCAGTTTTAGTTTCCCGTTGGCACCAAACCGTGTTATTGCAAACTTAGCCACTTAAAAGAGCACGATCGTAGCTTTCGACAGTGGGCCGGGTGCAGGCCCAGGCTTTGATGGCTCCTCCGCCCCCGTGTCTAGCAAAGCCACGGTCAAGGCCTCCGGCGGGGCTGCAGCCGCGTGTGAGGCCGGGCTGGGGGAAGAGGCCGCTTCCGGCCCACGATGGTCGCTGGCGGCATTCGGCGCTTTGCAGGCTGCCGAGCCGAGGGCCCCGGGTCCTGCCTGGCTTCCAGCTGGAGGCAGCCCTCCGCCCCGGGCCTTCTGGAAGCTCCCAGGGTGGCAGGTGCTGTTTTCAGCGAGAACGGCTTTACAGCATTACAGTGCAAATTCTGTCCATAACCGCACGCCTCCCATCGGCTTCCCCGCATTCTGCTGGTTAGAAGCTAGTGTCACTTCCTGCTCACGGGGACAGGGACGACACGAGGAGGTGAGCATCAGGGAGTGGGGGTCGAGGGGGTGACCCTAGAGCCCGTTCGCCCTACTTCTTACAGGACTTGACCCAAGGAACGGGCTTCTGAAATCTTCAGCATTATTCTTTGTAATTGTATGACTGAATCTACTGATATTTTTCCATCAGGAAGAAGAAATCGGTGTCCTCCACCACCTCTGCCTCGAAACTCCAGAATCCAGACATATTCTATGACATATCGTCACGGAGAAACGGTTCGTATAGAGTGTGAGCTGAATTTTGAGATGCAGGGCTCGGAAGAAGTACATTGTGATCATGGAAAGTGGACGGAGCCTCCGCAATGCACGGGTTAGCATCGCCTCGCATCAGCTCGCCTAAGCCGAAGTCCGCCTGTGTCACTGAACGGTCTCGTCTCTCTAAATTGTCCCTTTTCAGAAGAAAAGGAGAGGGTGGCCTGTGAGGCACCACCGTTGGTTGAGAACAGCGCAGCCAACCTACGCTCAGAGGTGTATCACAGCGGGGACAAGGTGACGTACAGGTGTGAGAGCGGCTATCACCTCCGGGGACCAAAAGAAATTACCTGCAAACGCGGAACGTGGACTCTTCCCCCCGAGTGTGTCGGTACGTGTAACACATTTAACGCCGACAGCTAAGCCGACCGTGGAAAGCTTCCCATTCTCTTCATTTAATTCACATACTGACAGCAAGAGGCCATTGCTTAGAAGAGTTAGAAACGCTTTTTTTTTTTTTTTTTTGCGTGAGTGTAGGGAGCCATCTGTAGAATTCAAGCCAAGATGAAGACCTGGGAAAGTAACACAAGGATTTCGAACGGGCGTGAGTGCCAGGCACTCTCGTCTGACCTGTTGGACGCTGTGACTTGGGAGCGTAAAAAGACAGCACGTAAATGAGAATGCACTTCATTGGAGAAGATAAATTAAGGACATGTTGGGTTGAGTGGCTGTGATCACGATCCACCTCCTTGAGACTTAGGACAGAGTGCTCTGCTCTTGACTTTGGGTCACTCCTGCTGATGTGACTTTCGCGTCTGGTCATTCTGAGTCTTCCACCCTCTGAGCTGTGTCTCAGGCCTGTTTTACAACCACCGCTGAGGGCTACCCTTCCCAACGTCCTTCTTATTTCTTGATCAGATCCTGGAGAGATTTCCACAAGCGTGTGCACCGAGGGTATTTATCACGTAAAAGAGAAGCTAATAAGGATACTTGAGAAATTAGCAGAAAAAAAAAAAAAACTCAAAAAGGAGAGAGGAAAATGGAAATGTTCATCTACAGATGGATTTGAAGCTGAGATGAGAAGAAATGAGAAGGCAAAAAAAATAAAAGTGGATGATGAGAACAGGTTCAGAACTGACCATAATCTTTAGGTTAAAGAGTATCATTTATTTATTTTTTAATCTATTTTAAGAATATCCAGATCAGAATTCCTTGGCACACAAGAAAAGTGGAAATATTCATCATTCTTTTTAAGTCAAACCTTGTCCGTTCAGTCTTGCTTAGTAAGTTTTAAAAATATTTGACCTGCGTAACATTTCTCTTGTTTCTGGTGAATTCAGGAATCGATCGTCCTCAATGATACAGCATAAATGTTGAGGTACTATTGTGTGGGGAACTGTATTATTACATTAAGTTGTTAAAAGTTCATATTAAGTTTAAACTACCCTTTTTTGTAGAAAATATCGAGAACTGTAAGGCTCCGCCTGTTGTGATTAACGGGGCCGTGGTTGGCGGGCTGTTGGCCAGCTACCCAGCGGGGTCCTCGGTGGAATACAGATGTGATGAGTATTACTTACTGAAGGGGGCGCAAAAGTCTCAGTGCGAGCAAGGACAATGGTCACCCCCACCTGTCTGCCTAGGTAAGGCCAAGAACACACTGAATTTTTTAAAGTTCCCCCCCGCAACCAACTTTATTGATACCGTTGACCTATAACATCATGTAACATTAGGATGCATGATGTGATCACTTAGTCAGATGTCTGGCATATTGTGAACTGGTTTCCACAATAAAGTCCTTAGCACGGCCCTCGCTTCACGTAATCACTATTATTATTATTATTATTATTATTATTATTATTTAGAATGAGTATTTAATATCTACTCTGTGCGTAATATTCAACTATACAAAACGATATCATTAAGTATAGTCACCATATCGGACATTAGTTCTCTAGAACTTATTTCTCTTAAAACAGAACGAATTGAATCTCTTTTACCATTATGTTTGCATTTTTATGTGACTTTAATACAGAAGTAAGGGAACATAATGATATCGTACTATGTATGGTGTCTGATGCGTACTAGACTTACCAGGGTGATCGCTTCGTAAGTTAAAGAAATGTCGAGTCACTAGGTTGTACACCTGGAACTAATCATTGTATGTCCACAGTAATTGAAAATGTTAAATATAAATCACAGATGTTAAAGTATTGTTTCCTGTGCCTGTCATCATTTTTATTTTAAAAATATATCACTTTCATCGCTGTCAGAGAAATAAATAATCTAACGGAGCATCTGTCCTACAGAGCCATGCACCATTCATGAGGATTACATGAACAGAAATAACGTAGAGCTGAAGTGGCGGCTGGAAGGCCAGTTCTTACATGGAGATTTAATAGATTTTGTATGTAAACGAGGATTTGATTTATCCCCATCAACCCCACAGTCTGAATTATCTGTGCAGTGCGATAGAGGAGAAGTGAAATACCCTTTGTGTTTGAGAAAAGGTAAGACTTTCTGACAGTTTCTCAGGTGATCCATGTGGTCACTTGGGTTCAAAGTATAAGACTCTAGGCAATTCACCGCCATCATCTTTTAATCGATGAAACTGGGAATGATCCGATCGATTGCTGGTCAACACATATACTTAAATAGGATGACTCGGATGACATCTTTTAATTCCAATAAGTCGGTTTTATAAAGGGAGAAATCAGGAGGCTTAATAAGTATCACAGACCATCAGAAGATTGATCTCATGGGAGCAACCAATAAGTATCTAAAATGTTGCTCTCCTCAGGGTTTGCTGGGGAGCGTTCTCTCAGGAAAGGGCTTGGTGTCGAGTGAGAGATTCTGCGTTCTCCTTGGACTCTGGATTAGGACTTTTAAGAAGGAAAAAAGGAAGAGAATCTATAGAGAAAGGGTGGCTTCGAGAGAAATCTCATACCCTTTCACTTTTGTCAGGTAGAAAGGGAAAAATAAAACCATGATTGTCAATACTTCGCTAATTTTAAATATATATTTAAATATTATGAGATTTTAATTGCAATAATAAATTTTGTAGTTTGAAGTTATTGCAGAAATGCTCTCAATATTTAGAGATTATTTGAGACCTGTCGTAAATGCTTTTACACGAATATCTCATTTTATGTGGCAATTATAAAAGCACTGGATACTGATTATAGCAATTCATTATGTTTTTAAAATTATTTTTCCAGAATCGAAAGAAGTATGTGCATCTCCTCCACTTATTAGCAATGGCGTCATTATTAGTTCAACAGTAAGCGCCTATGAAAACGGCTCCTCGGTAGAATACAAGTGTTTTGATCACCATTTCCTACAAGGGTCTAGAGAGTCCTACTGTTTAGAGGGAAGGTGGACCCCACCTCCAGTTTGTTTGGGTATGTACTACTAAACATGTCTCTGTTTAATAAAACGAAACTGTATTTTTTCACTTTCTGTGCTCTGAGTTGACATAATGCTAATATAATGCTTGATGTGCTATTTCCGTGTTATTTTGTTAGCATGCCTGTTTAGTCACTGGTTTCCATCCCTCCTTCTAGATCATACGTAACTGTAGTCCAGCTCTCTCTAACATATACTTGCTAAGTACAAACCATCCATCAGGTGCTGGTTTGGTATGGGGTGATAAGATGAGTAAGCCACATGGTAAGGCTAAACATGTTAACAACGATCATTCGGTGCGATGGGTACTATAATGGAAAACATGAGCACGATGGGCAAACAGATAGGAATGGCGTCCTGGATCTGGAAAGATGAAGCAAGTTAATGTCATATTATCCGGGCATCTTCGTCGGAGTGATGTCACCTCCCGAGGACCACAGAAGAGAAATGGCAGGTTGTTTCCTGTAAGCTCTGAACATATTTCTTGACTTAAATATTAATTCTAACTAACTTACTTGCCACTTTAACGCCTGGAAATTTTAAGGTCATCATCGGTACGCAACAGAATACTTCCTGGTGGTACCAAGAGGCACCATGATCGCTTTCTTCTTTCTGTTTTTCAGAGCCTTGCACATTATCTTTTGTTGAAATGGAAAACAATAATTTACTCTTGAAATGGAATTTTGACAACAGACCATATATTTTGCATGGCGAGTACATTCATTTTCTTTGCAAGAGAGATACTTATATAATCGAGTTATCTATTATCAGATCTGAATCTACAGTGCAATGTGACAGAGGGCAGTTAAAATATCCAAAATGTATTCCAAGAGAAAGGTAAGAAGAGGTTTGTGCCAACAACTTTAATTTTGGTCATATTGTTAGTCAAGAGATTCATCATATTGCAAGTTTCAGAAATACTAGGTTCTACCATACTTTTTCTATATGGCCATTATAAAAAATTTTTTCTTCTTTTTTTTTTTTTTTAAACCAAGCAAGCTCCATGAAGTATTAACTAATTGAACAAGCTTTCTAAGTTGTCAGAACTCAAAGCTTTGTGTGCTATTTAATATTTATGTCACTTTGGCATTCTAGTAAATAAATCAATTTATATATGCAATATTTAAATGTGAAAAAATTCACCTATGTGTTCTGAAATAGAAAATCACATTTCTCACACTTTCCAACAGAAGTTCACGTATAGGTAATAAAGACTGGAAACATAGTCGTGTAAATCTTTCTACCCAGAGAAGGGCATGCTAATACTAATGATTAAAATTACGGTAACACAGTTCTATGTAAAAATTTGGAATCACTTACTGAAGTGTTTCATCATATGACAATTTTAAAAAATATATTCTCTAATTTTTTGATGAATGGAAAATAATCTTTTTTTAAAGAAAAAAATGAATAAAGTGAAACAATGGAAATCATTGTATAGGATTAAGATTTTGACCCTTTTGAAGATACAATATAAAATGGAAATTATACTTTACGTAAAACTAAGACTATTAAAAACAAAACTCACATCAAAATGCTTATGATACTATTCTAGTAATTGTAAACATGAGCTATATGAACTATATAAGGATGGCTTTTAGACACTAGAAAAAATTCATGAAATACAAATGGGTATAAAACTTTTTTAATTTTTATATTTCACTGTGGTAGAATCAAGAGTGTTTGAGCATATCTTGGACTTCTACTTTTCAAGAGAAAAAGAAGTTAAAAAACTGGAAAAAGTTGTAAAAAATAATGGTGTTGGTATAGTAGATGACATTGAGTTTTTAAAAAGGAATTGGCGATATAAATTATCAGTGTGGTTTCATGCTTTTAGAAGTACCTGGTTAAAACAGTGAGTAATTATATGAAATGCTGAAGGGCTGAGAATGTAATAAATACTTGACCAGAAGTGATGCTTATTTCAAACTCCGCCCCCCCTTGCCCCCCCGCCCAATCCTCTCTTTCTTACCAAGGATGCTGTCTTATCAAGAACACTTAAGGACATAAAATGAATGGCAGAAAGAAGAATCATTATTTCAACAGTTTAAAACCCTTTACGAAACATGATTTTTAAAAGAACAATGTTGGATTAAAAACCTCTGAGTTTTCACTTGCCTGAAAATTTGAATCTAAATTGATTATGACTCTTTTCTTTATCTGTGAATAAAAGCCAGAACGTGTCCTTTCGTTTCTAGTTTGGATCATTTGACATGCACCCTTATCTTTTTTTGCATGTCTTCCATCTGTTGATCTACACATCAAAACGTTTGTTTTCTATTGTCCATTCACTTCCATTATTTTGAAATCAATCTTTTTAAAAAAAGCAAACACACTAGATGAGATAAGAAACTCTGCTTTAGATTAGAGGATTTACTTTATTAAATGCAGAAGAGGTTTTGTGGAAGTCACTGATTGAAATGAGATGCTATGATGATTTTTAAAAAGACACCGCTAAGAGACTAATTGGGGTGGGGAAATGGGAGAGCATTTAGGACAAGGATGCCGTTGTCCAAGCAAACAGTGGTGGTCACCTCACACCGGGGACAGCAGGTGGGCACGGCGCCAACGGGGCTGAAGCAGGAGCCTCTCGGGCTGTGAAATCATCACGGAGCTAGTGGATTAGATGTGGGGAGGGAGGGAGGCAGACAAAGGACTTGACGAACTCTCTGCCCTGGGCCTGACTCAGTGGAGGGGATGACCTTCTAAACGGGCAGGAAGCCCTGAAGGAAGACGACACTGTGTGAGCAGGTGGGGTTAGCATGAAGATTTCAGTTTCGGAAATGTCCTTTTCGAGGTGTCTGTGTAGTAGCCACACGAAAGTATTGAGGAAGCAGTGGATTCTCGCGGCCGATGCTGTGACGGACCACCCAGATCCCTTCCAGAAATGACAAAGCTTCATTCCCTTCGCTGCTGGGAGCTCTCACTTACCAGCTCTCTCCGGCGTTTGCCCAGCTGAACAGAAGATTCCCTCCCAAGGTCAGAACTGCTTCCCAGGGCGGCCTGCATCGGTGGTGACTGGTCAACAGGAGTCATAAAGAAAAGGCGCCCCATCCCGACAGAGGATGACTCTGAGCTTCGACCCAGCTTCAGAGCCGATGCCGCTTTGAGGGTTCATTGCAGCTCAGCTTCTCCATCCTGCTTCCTTTCTTTCCCTTCTGGGTGTGGTGGATCCTAAAACTAGTCCCTAAAGCCCCTCTGGACTGCTGATTGCGTCTCGCGGCCAGCTGCCCAGGCGCTGAGAGGCGCACGAGCCTGGCCGTCGGACCAAAGCCTCGCCAGCGTCTGGAGCTGCCAGTGGGTGGACGTCTGCTCAGATGGAGGTGATGGAGAGCTTGTCAGGGCGAGGGAAGACGGAGGCTTCGATCAGGGTTCTGAGCCTGACTCTAAGGTACAAAACCAAAGACACGAATGTGGTGAGTTAGGGGGACGGAGTGAAAGGGAGTGAGGGGGGGTGGCGTGGAGAAGGAAAGGGGGCTAAGGGGGTGTTTTTGCGTTAAAAGGGGGAAATTTGAGCACGTTCAAATGAATTGGGAAGGGGTCGGCAAAAAAGGAGGTAAAGGGGAAACACTGCAATGGATTGCGGAGGACTCTTGGAAAAGCGAGAAGGGGTGGGACCCACGCCGTGGGCAGAAGATGGCTCTCGGCCGGAATGAGGAGTTTCATGTCACGTGGTTCTCATTTCCTCTGTCCAGCAGGGGAAGCGCCTGCTGGGCATGTGGACAAGTTTACGTGGAGAGCGATTAAAGGATCGAGGTGACCAGAGAAAGTTCGAAAACGTCATGTAGAGGGTGAGCCTGATGACCGCAGACGTACAGGATTGCTTGGCACAGAAGCAGGCCCAGCGACATGAGCTGGCCCAGCGAGCTGTTTCTCAGCATCGTCACCTCCACGAGATGCGGGAAGTGCCGAGGATAAGGCTCTAAATTACGGCCCTTCGCTTGTCAGAGAACTTTCTGTTGTGCGATCATTTTCTATCGTGGCGAAGGGGAAAACAGGTTGCCCATGAGTTCTCACGCTGGTAGCAGAGGAACACTCACAAGGGCCAAAGAGTCTTTAAGGGGGTGACCGCCCTTAAAGTAGTAGGAGGTCTGATTAAAGCTGAGTCCACAGTGGGGCCGGCCGACGTTATCGGCATCAGCATGTGAACATTCCAGCCTAAGGAAACTGTCACTGTTTACATAGAAATTGTCCAAGCATGTAGCTTTCTACTTCGAAATATGAATGCCAACCATTCAGCAGCCGTGTGCGAACACACTTTCAGAGTACAAATCCATGACAATTAGACTAGGAATGGGCAAATATCAAACTCTCAAAAATCATGACTCTGATTTTCTCAGGATCCAGAAGAACTTACCTATACATCTTGGTAGCTCTGACCATTTTGCATGGCTGCATGTTACATATTTAGAACCCCCAAGTTCATAGTAGGCCTGGCATTGGTATTCGACCCTTGACCCGGGGGAGTACACTGTTAACAGGAAGGAAGTGACATCTCCATTGCTGATTGGCGGAGGAGGCCCACACTTCTCTGTAGAGTCTGAAAAATAGCATTTTATATGTTGAGGAAAAATCTGTAGTTTTCTAGGAAACTATTTAAATAAAGCTCCATAGGTACTTTTAACCCTATCTTGCATTTTAAACCTCGTGTCTTAAAAACATTCTGGATAATGCACATACAAACAAGGACTACATATCTATGTACTTTTCAATTCCCGACAAAAAAAATATCATAATAAAAATACGTACGGTAGCATGTTGGCAGATGGGACCAGCCGTCTTCACCACATACTATGTAGCCGGTGGTGTTCCCGTCTCTGTTTTCAAATCCATCCAGGCATTTATATTCCAACTTGTCATTGAATTTAAACTGAGTGCCAGTAATTTCAACTGTGGCATTCTCAAGTACTGGCACATCACACTCTTCAAGAGCAAAATAAAATTGAGAGTTGTATTTCTAATGCCATATCATGTATAATCCAACTAAGAAAGTCTGATTCTAGGAGCAATAGAAACTTTACCATAAGTGTGTGGGGATAAATCAAGTACCACTTTAAAAGGCTCTGACGGTCAGTGTTAATTTGTGCTAAAGAGTTATATACCATGAGAAAATTTAATTCCATAGGCATGCTTTTTCCTATCATTCAAAGTCTCTAAAAATATATCAGGAACAGTCAGTCAGATCTTTTTTAGACAATATGTCACTGGCTATTACTAAAATATGCTGTTTTAATATACGATGTTATTTTAAGGACAAAAAGTTATTTGTGCAGGTCAGCGAGCTCTGCTGCTTCTGAAGACTGTAGCCAGGATAGCAGTCGAAACTATCGAATGGAAGACTCTACGGTCTGCACGGCGACCCCTGGATTCTTGGGTCGAGTATATCACATACTGGGGTCGGTCAAAACACGAGAACGGGTAAGGGACAACTGCCAGGGCGAGAAGTACCAGGGAACGGGAACGTCCCAGATGTCCGGAACACATAAATTCGATCAGT